CTGTACAGAGATGGGATCATGGATCTCTATAAGAACTACAAACCTGATCCCTACACCTGTACAGAGATGGGATATGGATCTCTATAAGAACTACAAACCTGATCCCTACACCTGTACAGAGATGGGATCATGGATCTCTATAAGAAACTACAAACCTGATCCCTACACCTGTACAGAGATGGGATCATGGATCTCTATAAGAACTACAAACCTGATCCCTACACCTGTACAGAGATGGTGATCATGGATCTCTATAAGAACTGATCCCTAACCTGATCCCTACAAACCTGATCCCTACACCTGTACAGAGATGGTGATCATGGATCTCTATAAGAACTACAAACCTGATCCCTACACCTGTACAGAGATGGGATCATGGATCTCTATAAGAACTACAAACCTGATCCCTACACCTGTACAGAGATAGGGATCATGGATCTCTATAAGAACTACAAACCTGATCCCTACACCTGTACAGAGATGGCGATCATGGATCTCTATAAGAACTACAAAAACCTGATCCCTACACCTGTACAGAGATGGGATCATGGATCTCTATAAGAACTACAAATCCTGATCCCTACACCTGTACAGAGATGGGATCATGGATCTCTATAAGAACTACAAACTGATCCCTACACCTGTACAGAGATGGGATCATGGATCTCTATAAGAACTACAAAACCTGATCCCTACACCTGTACAGAGATGGTGATCATGGATCTCTATAAGAACTACAAACTGATCCCTACACCTGTACAGAGATGGGATCATGGATCTCTATAAAACTACAAACCTGATCCCTACACCTGTACAGAGATGGGATCATGGATCTCTATAAGAACTACAAACCTGATCCCTACACCTGTACAGAGATGGGATCATGGATCTCTATAAGAACTACAAACCTGATCCCTACACCTGTACAGAGATGGGGATCATGGATCTCTATAAGAACTACAAACCTGATCCCTACACCTGTACAGAGATGGGATCATGGATCTCTATAAGAACTACAAACCTGATCCCTACACCTGTACAGAGATATGGGGATCATGATCATGGATCTCTATAAGAACTACAAACCTGATCCCTACACCTGTACAGAGATGGGATCATGGATCTCTATAAGAACTACAAACCTGATCCCTACACCTGTACAGAGATGGGGATCATGGATCTCTATAAGAACTACAAAAATCCTGATCCCTACACCTGTACAGAGATGGGGATCATGGATCTCTATAAGAACTACAAACCTGATCCCTACACCTGTACAGAGATGGGATCATGGATCTCTATAAGAACTACAAACCTGATCCCTACACCTGTACAGAGATGGGATCATGGATCTCTATAAGAACTACAAAACTGATCCCTACACCTGTACAGAGATAGGGATCATGGATCTCTATAAGAACTACAAACCTGATCCCTACACCTGTACAGAGATGGGATCATGGATCTCTATAAGAACTACAAACCTGATCCCTACACCTGTACAGAGATGGGATCATGGATCTCTATAAGAACTACAAACCTGATCCCTACACCTGTACAGAGATGGGATCATGGATCTCTATAAGAACTACAAACCTGATCCCTACACCTGTACAGAGATGGGATCATGGATCTCTATAAGAACTACAAATCTGATCCCTACACCTGTACAGAGATGGGGATCATGGATCTCTATAAGAACTACAAACCTGATCCCTACACCTGTACAGAGATGGGATCATGGATCTCTACAAGAACTACAAACCTGATCCCTACACCTGTACAGAGATGGGATCATGGATCTCTATAAGAACTACAAACCTGATCCCTACACCTGTACAGAGATATGGATCATGGATCTCTATAAGAACTACAAACCTGATCCCTACACCTGTACAGAGATGGGGATCATGGATCTCTATAAGAACTACAAACTGATCCCTACACCTGTACAGAGATGGGATCATGGATCTCTATAAGAACTACAAAACCTGATCCCTACACCTGTACAGAGATGGGATCATGGATCTCTATAAGAACTACAAATCTGATCCCTACACCTGTACAGAGATGGGATCATGGATCTCTATAAGAACTACAAAACCTGATCCCTACACCTGTACAGAGATGGCGATCATGGATCTCTATAAGAACTACAAACCTGATCCCTACACCTGTACAGAGATGGGATCATGGATCTCTATAAGAACTACAAACCTGATCCCTACACCTGTACAGAGATAGGGATCATGGATCTCTATAAGAACTACAAACCTGATCCCTACACCTGTACAGATAGGGATCATGGATCTCTATAAGAACTACAAACCTCTGATCCCTACACCTGTACAGAGATAGGGATCATGGATCTCTATAAGAACTACAAACCTGATCCCTACACCTGTACAGAGATGGGATCATGGATCTCTATAAGAACTACAAACCTGATCCCTACACCTGTACAGAGATGGGATCATGGATCTCTATAAGAACTACAAACCTGATCCCTACACCTGTACAGAGATGGGGATCATGGATCTCTATAAGAACTACAAACCTGATCCCTACACCTGTACAGAGATGGGATCATGGATCTCTATAAGAACTACAAACCTGATCCCTACACCTGTACAGAGATGGGATCATGGATCTCTATAAGAACTACAAACTGATCCCTACACCTGTACAGAGATAGGGATCATGGATCTCCTCTATAAGAACTACAAATCTGATCCCTACACCTGTACAGAGATGGGATCATGGATCTCTATAAGAACTACAAACCTGATCCCTACACCTGTACAGAGATGGTGATCATGGATCTCTATAAGAAACTACAAACCTGATCCCTACACCTGTACAGAGATAGGGATCATGGATCTCTATAAGAACTACAAAACCTGATCCCTACACCTGTACAGAGATGGGGATCATGGATCTCTATAAGAACTACAAACCTGATCCCTACACCTGTACAGAGATAGGGATCATGGATCTCTATAAGAACTACAAACCTGATCCCTACACCTGTACAGAGATAGGGATCATGGATCTCTATAGAACTACAAACCTGATCCCTACACCTGTACAGAGATGGGGATCATGGATCTCTATAAGAACTACAAACCTGATCCCTACACCTGTACAGAGATGGGATCATGGATCTCTATAAGAACTACAAACCTGATCCCTACACCTGTACAGAGATAAGGTGATCATGGATCTCTATAAGAACTACAAACTGATCCCTACACCTGTACAGAGATAGGGATCATGGATCTCTATAAGAACTACAAACCTGATCCCTACACCTGTACAGAGATAGATGTAATTTTTGCTGTCAGCTGTGACAGTGATGACAGAGGACTCCCCCCTCCCCCACACACTGACTGACCTCTGAATATGGGGGTGGGGATCTCTCTCTGTAGAACACGCTGTCCCCTGGAAGTTCAGGATGCCGTATCCATGATCTTCGCCTTCTTTAATCCTCTTTAGTTCACTTTTCTTTGTATTCTGATGGGAAAAATAAACAATAAATTGCATATTTGGATAAAACCAACAAAATAATCCGATATCTCTGTCCTTTTAATAAGTACATTACAAAAAACAGCCATTGATCCCGCCAGAAATCCAGTGAGCTCTCAACTTCCTGTAGTAGGCTGACAACACGGCCTGTGCTGCACTGAAATCCCAAGCAGTGCTGTCAGCTTAGGTCCCATGCCAAGAGTCCAGCAGGCTGGTTGTACTTGAAGTTGATAAATTGATCCATGGATGGATGGAATGTCAGCCAATCCCTGATGATCCGGACGGGATTCCACCCATCTATGGCCGGCTGTACACCCCAAGTATGGGGAACATGGGAGACGGTCAGACATGGAATCTGCCTTTAGAGCCGCTGTGACATGACTGGGATATCCTCTGCTCTAGGCGGCCTTCACACAGCAGTGATAGCAGAGGATCATTGGACGCTTCCAGGAGTCGAAATGCTGCCTTTGGTCGCAGCAATACTCTGTGCCAGGGGCCACCAAATGTAAGCAAAGGGCCACTTTATTATCCCTCAGAATTCAGAGGGGCCGGACTATGACCAGTAAGAGGAGAAAATGTCCTGGTGACAGTAACAATGCCCCATCGTTGGTGCCCCAATGACAGGGCATTCCTCCCACTGACACCAATGACAGGGCATTCCTCCCACTGACACCAATGACAGGGCATTCCTCCCACTGACTGACACAATGACAGGGCATTCCTCCCACTGACACCAATGACAGGGCATTCCTCCCACTGACACCAATGACAGGGCATTCCTCCCACTGACACCAATGACAGGGCATTCCTCCCACTGACACCAATGACAGGGCATTCCTCCACTGACACTGACACCAATGACAGGGCAGGGCATTCCTCCCACTGACACCAATGACAGGGCATTTCCTCCCACTGACACCAATGACAGGGCATTCCTCCCACTGACACCAATGACAGGGCATTCCTCCCACTGACACCAATGACAGGGGCATTCCCTCCCACTGACACCAATGACAGGGCATTCCTCCCACTGACACCAATGACAGGGCATTCCCCCCACTGACACCAATGACAGGGCATTCCTCCCACTGACACCAATGACAGGGCATTCCTCCCACTGACACCAATGACAGGGCATTCCTCCCACTGACACCAATGACAGGGCATTCCTCCCACTGACACCAATGACAGGGCATTCCTCCCACTGACACCAATGACAGGGCATTCCCCCACTGACACCAATGACAGGGCATTCCTCCCACTGACACACCAATCATAGGGCATTCCTCCCACTGACACCAATGACAGGGCATTCCTCCCACTGACACCAATGACAGGGCATTCCTCCCACTGACACCAATGACAGGGCATTCCTCCCACTGACACCAATGACAGGGCATTCCTCCCACTGACACCAATGACAGGGCATTCCTCCCACTGACACCAATGACAGGCATTCCTCCCACTGACACCAATGACAGGGCATTCCTCCCCCACTGACACCAATGATGGGGCACAATTCCTCCCACTGACACCAATGATGCGGCACTATTCCTCCTCCCACTGACACCAATGACAGGGGCATTCCTCCCACTGACACCAATGACAGGGCACTCCTCCCACTGACACCAATGACAGGGCATTCCTCCCACTGACACCAATGACAGGGCATTCCTCCCACTGACACCAATGACAGGGCATTCCTCCCACTGACACCAATGATGGGGCATTCCTCCCACTGACACCAATGACAGGGCATATTTCCTCCCACTGACACCAATGATGGGCATTCCTCCCACTGACACCAATGATAGGGCATTCCTCCCTCCACTGACACCAATGACAGGGGCAACATTCCTCCCACTGACACCAATGATAGGGCATTTCCTCCCACTGACACCAATGATGGGCATTCCTCCCACTGACACCAATGACAGGGCATATCCTCCCACTGACACCAATGATGGGGCATTTCCTCCCACTGACACCAATGATGGGGCATATTCCTCCCACTGACACCAATGATGGGGCACTATTCCTCCCACTGACACCAATGATGGGGCACTATTCCTCCCACTGACACCAATGATGGGGCACTATTCCTCTCCACTGACACCAATGATGAGGCAATATTCATATCACTGAATTAAAAATGATGGGCACTATTCCTACCACTGACCAATGATGGGGCACTATTCCTCCCAATGACACCAATGATGGGGACACTATATTCCTCCACTGACACCAATGATGGGGCACTATTCCTCCCACTGATACCAATGATGGGGCACTATTCCCCCCACTGATACCAATGATGGGGCACTATTCCCCCCACTGATACCAATGATGGGGCACTATTCCTCCCACTGATACCAATGATGGGGCACTATTCCTCCCACTGATACCAATGATGGGGCACTATTCCTCCCACTGACACCAATGATGGGGCACTATTCCTCCCACTGACACCAATGATGGGACACTATTCCTCCCACTGATACCAATGATGGGGCACTATTCCCCCCACTGACACCAATGATGGGGGCACTATTCCTCCCACTGACACCAATGATGGGGCACTATTCCTCCCACTAATACCAAATGATGGGGCACTATTCCCCCCACTGACACCAATGATGGGGCACTATTCCCCCACTGACACCAATGATGGGGCACTATTCCTCCCACTGATACCAATGATGGGGCACTATATTCCTCCCACTGACACCAATGATGGGGCACTATTCCTCCCACTGACACCAATGATGGGACACTATTCCTCCCACTGATACCAATGATGGGGCACTATTCCTCCCACTGACACCAATGATGGGGCACTATTCCTCCCACTGACACCAATGATGGGGCACTATTCCTCCCACTGACACCAATGATGGGGCACTATTCCTCCCACTGATACCAATGATGGGGCACTATTCCTCCCACTGACACCAATGATGGGGCACTATTCCCTCCCACTGATACCAATGATGGGGCACTATTCCTCCCACTGATACCAATGATGGGGCACTATTCCTCCCACTGACACCAATGATGGGGCACTATTCCCCCCACTAACACCAATGATGGGGCACTATTCCTCCCACTGATATTAATGATGGGGCACTATTCCTCCCACTGACATCAATGATGGGGCACTATTCCTCCACTGACACCCTTTATGGGGCACTATTCCCTCCACTGATACTAATGATGGGGCACTATTCCTCCCACTGACACCAATGATGGGGCACTATTCCTCCCACTGACACCAATGATGGGGCACTATTCCTCCCACTGACAACAATGATGGGGCACTATTCCTCCCACTGATACCAATGATGGGGCACTATTCCCCCCACTGACACCCTTTATGGGACACTATTTCCCATAACTGGGAAACATAAGATGTGTATGGCTCAAATCAAAGCCGCACAGTAATGCGGCTTGCATGTAATTTGGACAGAAATGCGGTGCGATTCCTATGCGATTACACGTGGTGTCCCACACCTGATAGTGTGAACCCGGGCTCTCAGAAAATACAAATCTGATCCCTACACTTGTACATTGATGGTGATAATGGATATAAAAGCTGTACGTATTCTAAGCAGCTGCTGGATTATTTTTAAAGGTAGCGGAAGGGAGTCCCGCCCTTTCCTCCCGCCGCCGCTTTTTATTGGGCTCTCTCCCGAGAATGCTCTCTTGTAATGGTGATCAGAGCGCCTAACTAGCTCCTTGATGGCTATTACAAGCAGCAGAAGGGGACATTTCTCTCCTTCACCACCTTGCTCAGGCTCACCCGTCCCATCAGGACCACCAGCTGACGTGTCCGGGATCGGCTTTGATAGGACCTTGGTTATGGTACCCCAGAAGCGATGACCGCACACCACTTCCAGTTTCCCCGGAGAGTAAACGGCGCCATTTTCAAAGAAATAAAAGCATTTAATGACAGCGATCTTGGTGTTTTGAATGGTTTTAAAGTGCAGAGGAGGGATCTGGGGGTCTTATTGACCACAGATCCCTCCTCAAAGAGGACCTGTCACAGGCCTATTTCTGTCACAAGCAATCCAAAATAAATAAATAAAGCACAAGTCTAAAAAAAAATAAAAAAATAAAAAAAATTAAAGTGCCCCCCCCCCCAGCTCAAAGGTAAACGCATCGGTCCCGCACACAGTTTTCCCGACACATGTGAGGTATCACCGCGAACGTCAGGTCCTGGGCAGTAATTCTAGCACCCAGATCACCTGTGTAGATCTAAGGCAGTCACCTGTAAAGGCTTTTAAAGCGTCGCCTATGGATAATAAAACGTCTGCGGTTTTTCAGCGTTGCACGGGCGTGCGCTGTTTTACAGCGTGACATGTTAGGTATCTATTTACTCGGCGTAACATCATCCTTTTATATTTTACCAAAAAAAAATTGGGTCACATATTGTGTTTTTTCTGCATTAAAAATACAAAAAGTGTATTTTTTCGCCCCCCAAATAATACGTTTGAAAAACGGCTGCGCACATAAAAAATTGCAACACCCCCCAGTATATTCAGGGGGGTTCTAATACCTTTCCTAGCAAAAAATACTGATGGTAACAGGTAAAAAGTGTCAGAAAAAGCCTGGTCTTCCATGGATACAGAACACTGACATTAACCCCACCCCCCCAAGTCCAAGGAGGAGGAGGTGTGGAGGATATTACCCACAATGCCCTGTCCCTGTCAGTACACAGTGCCTTTGACTCACCTGCTGTGACCCGTACTCAGATGGCGGTGGTGGACAGGTCAGCGCTCCTCCTCCTCCGCACTGACAGGACGCCGCTTCTTCCAGCTTGCAGCTCCCGCCCACATCACGTGGGGACCAATGGCCGCGCACCCGGTCTCTCCTCAGGAGACAAGGTCTGGCTGCAGAATGGAGCTCAACTCAATATACATTGTAAAGCGCTGAGAAAACCGTTGGCGCCATATAAATCCTGTATAATGATATAAATCCTGTATAATAATATAAATCCTGCGTAATAACATAAATCCTGTATAAAAATATAAATCCTGTATAATAATATAAATCCTGTATAATGATATAAATCCTGTATATAATATAAATCCTGTATAATGATATAAATCCTGTATAATAATAATAAATCCTGTATAATGATATAAATCCTGTATAATAATATAAATCCTGTATAATGATATAAAATCCTGTATAATGATATAAATCCTGTATAATAATATAAATAAATCCTGTATGATATAAATCCTGTATAATTAATATAAATCCTGTATAATAATATAAATCCTGTATAATGATTATAAATCCTGTATATAATATAAAAATCCTGTATAATGATATAAATCACTGTATAATGATATAAATCCTGTATAATGGGCGCATGCCGCGGCCGGCACCCGGACCGAAATGGACGTGAATTACTAGCGGCTCGTCCACCGCCGCAAGCATTGAGCGGCAACACACCGGCTCTGGGGGGACAACAAACAGCTCTCAGCTGCCCTAACCCTGACAGGCACCCGCACCTTGGTGATCATGCCCGCAGAAGGAAAACCCCGGGGCAGCCAGGGAAACTCACTGATTTCTTCCCGGCCGTCGGGTCGGGAATCCAGATGGCGACCCGCAGCAGAGCATGCAGGGAGGCAGAGGCAGCCATGAGGAGGACTACAGGGATCAGCAGACGGATCCTAGGCTGAGACAGTCGCATTATACCCAGGGGACCCTGGTGAAAAATTTTGTCACCTCCATTATCCCCCCTTACATCCAGCAGCCCAGCAAAATCTCCTGGCCACGTCTAGACCATGACCCTGACCCCTCATTCATATCAGGCCTTAAATCTTCCACCTCAGCCACCTCATGCACCCTTTCTGACATAGATGCGTTTCCCTGCATCTGATCAAACCGCTGACAGAAATTTGCATGAAAAATATGCTTTCATCACTACGGCAGACCCTGCACACAGATATTTCCACATCGCTCAACCAAATTACTTGCATTATAAACAACAAGAACGCAGAATACAGCTCACATTGAAAACTAGTATGGAGAAAATCATAACGGCACATAATGATATTCTGATTGACGCTCATACGGACCACACTTCTGACATCGAACAAATCAACTTAAATTAGCCGACCTAGAGGACAGATCACGCCGCAACAACATTAAATTTAGAGGGATACCTGAATTCAGTTACCAACGAGACACTGCTCCAGGGGGGGGGGTGCGTTAATCGCTACTACACAATACATGCAAAATCCCTCATATACCAACGCATTCCTGACCTGGAGCTTGCGATTGATCGAGCCCCACAGACTACCCAAACCTTCATTCTTACAGCGACTATTCCTAGGAGATGTATTGGGCCCGTATACACATTTTTACCATATCAAGAGAAAAAATCCATGACAGCGGCCAGGAACCCACCTCCACTCCCGCCAACGCACACACTAATCTTAGATTATGCTATGCAGATCTATCAAAAAAGCCACACTTCCATCAACAGGAAAAAAATGATTTCTCTATTACCATAGTGAGCCCTAAGAAATCATAACATAGCCTACCAATGGGGTTTCTACCCTACAAAGCTAACTAGTGCGGCACCAAGGCAGGCTTTTCACAATCAGATCCCTTGAAGCAGGCCTAGATCTTCTCCAAAAGCATGGAATTATCATTTCCCGTAGACGCCACAGGAAACTGCTTCCTGCTCCTATTAGTCAACATTCATGGAGGCGTCATAACTATTAGAAAAAAAAAAAAACCCCCCGGGTAAAACAAGGTACATATCGAAACTAACCTATATACAGTGTTAACTCGTCCCTAATAAGAGATTCTTTTTAAATAACCGTTATACTGGCGATCGGCCCTAAAATTGCTGAAAACTCGCTCTACAAAGTTTACACTTGACCTGAACCCATAGGCGGCTCAAGATTTGTTCAACCCCCCAGTTTGATGAAGTAGCTACTGGAAGCTACTCGATTCCACTTGTATTTGTCCCACAAGGTCTTTTTTATTGTTTTATGTTACCCTCCCCTCCTTACACGTGGCACCATTACTTATCTACCTCAATCTAAGATCTAACCACTTCGACTTTACATGGAAAACATAAATACTGCTTAGCCATTCGCACCCAATATAAGCTGCTGCAGT